TCGCTTCAAAAATGCGGTGCTTCACTGCAAAATATCAATTTTTTTTAAGATGGTTAATCTCAAAATTTGCAGGCTACAGAGTACAGAGAAACCGTGCCTGGGGCCAAGCAAGTGATTGCTTTCTACGAGAGTTACGTCAGTAGCAAACCAGACGGACACACCCTCTTGTATGTCTCTGAATTCGAACAAAAGTTTTGCCACAGCACTTAGCATTAAAAACTTGATCGAAAGCATACCGACTGCCGGTACGAGGATGCGTTTTTTGTACAGTTCTCCCGCAAGTTTTTTTTCACCAGTGGCATGCTCATCCCGGCAGATACTTCTAGCTAAGAGAATTGTGACTCGCCACCACGACTGTTAGAAATTATTACAATGACTCCCAATCTATGCCCAAAAAAGTCAGCGCTCTGGATGCTTCAGTTGCGGGGTTATGCCAAATTTCACGCGTTCGTAAGTGAGTAGCAACGTGAGCGCTTTCTTCGCCCACAGATGGTCGAGCACGGTCATGGGTAGCGCTCAGAAAGTTTCAGCACTCCAACTGCTCTAGTTGCGGAGTTACACCAGATTTCACATGTGTACACGTGAAACGTACGTGAGACGTGAAAGTGATGTGTAAGTCGTTTTTGCGTGCATCTGGTCAAAAGACATCATCGGTTATGCTCAGAAAGTTCAAGGCCTCCGGCTGGTTCAATTCTAAAGTTATAAAAGCGCATGCGTGAAATTATCACGTGTTCGTACGTAAGATGCAAGAGCTGAAAAGTAATTCACTTTCTCAGAAACAGCAGTGGGCGACGGGTAACGCTGCAGAATTGCAGCTCTCTGCAGCTTATTGATCACCTTAAATCTGGAGTTGGCATGATGCCAGCCTAAACTTTGACGTGTTCGTACGTGAGACCTGGGGTGCGTGAAGGCTGAATTTAAAATCTTTGAATTAGACGCGGCCATGGAACATCTCTGTGAAGTTCCAGCCTCCTAGCATGGGCCGTTTTCGAAAACGTTTTCCCGCCAAAAAAACTTTCACCTGCCCCTACATGAGAACCACGCGGACCTGAGCGTCCATTTTGAGGGTACGAGTCCGCATGTATGTGTAAATTAAGTCACCAAATTTTCAGCCTTGCAGCTTTTGTGGATCTCGAGATGAAAACTCGTTACAGCCGCACACACAGGCACAAATACACAAACACACACACACACACACAGACAACCCCTCGACAATGTGTTTTTGCATTGTGTAGCTGCGAAAACGCATCAAAATTAAT